TAGGGTGAGCAACAGTTCGGGATCTTCGTTATCACATTTTGAGCCTCAAAATGCGCCACACATTCTCTATTGGAGACAGGTCGGGACTGCAGGCAGGCCAGTCATGTACCTGTATCCTCTTCCTCCGCAGCCAGGACTTGGTAATGTGTGCAGAATGTGCTTTGGCATTGTCTTATTGAAATATACATGGGTGTACCTGGAAATAAAGTGGCATCACAGAAGTTACCTTTGTCAAGGGCACGACACAACTCATAGCATGACAGACCCTGGGTTTTTGCTGGTAACAGTGTGGATGATCCTTTTCTGCTTTGGTCTGAATTGCACACGACATCCATTTCTCCTGAAAAAATGCCTGAAATACTGATCTGACCACAGTACATGTTTCCACTGTGTGATGGTCCATCCTAGATGCCTCTAAGCCTAGAGAAGTTGAGCGCGCTTTTGGACACTGTTAACATAGGGCTTCCTTTTGTATTTGTGTAGGTATTCTTTTTGTCCTTATGTATTGTGGTACTTGACAGGATTTCTGCAGTATTCCTGAGCGCATGTGGGGATCTGGCTTATAGATGAATGAGGATTCGCTCATGCAGCGCCCCCTGAGGGATCGGAGATCACGGTTGTTCAGCTCTGGCTTGCGCTCTTGTACTTTACACACTGGATTCCTCCAGATTTCTTGAATCTTTTAATGATGTTCTGCATTGCTGAAGGTGAAATATCCAAATGTCTTTCTATCTTTCTTTGAGGAACATTGTTTTTAAACAATTCAATCATTTTCTGATGTATTTGTTGGCAAACTGGTGATCCTCTGCCCATCTTTGCTCCTAAAGGACTAGACCTTTCTTGAATGCTGCTTTTGTACCAAATCATAAATACAATCACCTGTTGACATCACCTCTTTCAAATCACATCACTATTTCACCAATTTACCTGATTACAAGACCTAAACTGTTCCTGTTCCGATTTATTTTGGAACGTGCAGCAAGAGCCAAATGGAAATACATGTTTATTTTGAACAAATAAGTAAATAAAATCACGAGGAACACATTAAATAATGTGTGTTGCATTGTCTGCAATGAAATACAAGTGAAAGTAAATTTAGAAATCCCTACTTTCTTTTTATATTTACTCTACCTGGCACCCGAATTCAATTTTAACAAGAAAAAGATGTTAAATAAGCCATCACTACAAACGTTTTCAAAGAATTCCACTTTCCAATTTACCCATTTTCGATCTCAGTCCGAACGAACAGTCTTAGAATGTAAGCAAACAGGCAAAACGCATATAAAGCTTTCCAATTTGGCTGAAACCTTTGTCGTGTAAAACACCCATAAGATCCAGTGCTGGACAATATCAAGCCAGTTGATCGAGTGTGATGTCTGGACAATCATGTCAATGTAAATTTAACAATTGGCAGACCATATAGCTTCATCACAATAGTGTCCTGTAGTAGAAATGGCCTCTATCAGCAGCACAATGCACCACGCTACCCTGAACAAATTGACCAGGAGTGGTGTAAAGACAAAGATGAAGGATTCAATATGTTCCCCCAATCTCAATCCAATGAGCATCTGTAGGATGAGCTGCCGGACCACCGAGATCGACCCGTGGTGCAACAGACAGGCCTCAAAGTGTGATTGTCTTTTTTATTTATTTCAAAGTGGTTGACAGGATCTGCTGCTAACATAATGGTGCAGCATATCACAGGACACCTTCATGCCTCAGCGGGTCAGTGCTGTGTTAGTAGCATGCAGAGCAGCAACAGCATGTCAGGCAGGTGGCCATAATATTTGTACTCAACCGTGTATATTAGTGCTACTAAATGAGCCAGTCAGTTCAATCTGTTCTTTGTTAGCCTTCTTCGAGTACCAGATCTAACACACAAGCATCAAATGCTAAAATTCTACAAGCCCAAATCAGAAAAAGTTGGGACAGTATGAAAAACGTGAACGAAAAAGAAAGAAGTGACTTACATTGGATTAAGAGTATTACGTTGGGCGACGCAGTGGCGCAGTGGGTAGTGCTGTCGTCGCACAGCAAGAAGGTCGCTGGGTTGAGCCTGGCTTAGTTGGCGCTTTTGTGTGGAGTTTGCATGTTCTCCCTGCGTTCGCGTGGGTTTCCTCCGGGTGCTCTGGTTTCCCCCACAGTCCAAAGACATGTGGTACAGGTGAATTGGGTAGGCTAAATTGTCCGTAGTGTGTGTGTGAATGAGTGTGTGTGGATGTTTTCCAGCTGGAAGGGCATCCGCTGCGTAAAACATGCTGGATAAGTTGGCGGTTCATTCTGCTGTGGCGACCCTGGATTATTAAAGAGACTAAGCCGACAAAAAATATTACATTGCAGACAACACAACTAATATTATATAACATGCTCCTCTGGATTTTATTTATTCTTTTTTTTTTTAAATAAACACGTATTTTAATTTTGGTTCCTGCAACACATTTCAAAAAAAGTTGCCATTTACCTCTTTGTAATGCTGCCATTCCTTTTCACAACACGTTTAGGTACTCAAGACATCAAGTGAGGAAGTGTTTCAGGTGTCATCGTGTCCCATTCTTCCTGCAAACAAGTCTTGATGTGCGCAACAGTACGAGATCTTCGTTGTTGCATTACTCGCTTCAAAATACACCACACATTCTCTAATGCGGACAGGTCAGGACTTCATGCAGGCCAGTTTTACCCTCTCTCTTGTTTGAACCAAGCTTTATTTTCCCATCTGCGAATTTAGGGCATAATAAGACTTTGCCAGTGTGGATCCTAATCACAACTGATCAAGATGGCCAAAAGATTATCTGCTGTGAGGGCCTTGCTTCTGATGATGATGTCCATGACCATGGTGGGAACAATACGAAAAAACAAATCTGTGGGTTTTATTTTTTTTTCATAACATTGATAAAAATAATTAAAAAAACGAGAAGCACATTAATTCATCAATATGTTCTAAGAAAGGTAAAGGGGGAAAATTAACCATGTTTGCTGCTCATATGGCTTGTAATCGAGATTAAGTAAAAGTTTGTTAAGTAATTTAACATAAAATTGTTTGATAGTGTTAATTTGGAAAGCCAAAACTGTAGCGGGTTTCATTTCGGTCATCATACAGTAAACATCTTCTCATCAGTGACCTGCATCTAAACAGTCTCTGGGTCAATGTGTGTAAAGATTTTGGGCATCTTCGTGGACCCTTTTACTGCTTCCAAGCAGTTTGCTGCATTTATAAACCACCCATGGCTTGAGGTAGTTCATCATGATGTGATTTACCTTCTATGTGTGATTTGATTGGACAGGATTAACAGGACTGATTATTCTAATCCTCATAGACAAGAAAAAATAAAGTAGTGACTGCAGGATGAAGGAAAGTAGTGAGAGTAAAAGTACCAATACAGCACTATAAATGTACACAAAGGAAAGTAAAAGCACACATTTATTAAACTACTTACTAAATAACAATTCCTGAGAAAAACTACTCAATTACAGTAGTTTGAGTATTTGTAATTAGTTACTTTACACCACTGCAGCTAAAGCCTGATTTATACTTCTGCGTCAGGTGACTGGCGTAACCCACGGTGCATGCAACGCGCGCGGCTGTGCATTTATACTTCTGCGCGCTGTCTCTGTTGGTCTGGATTAACACTTCCGAAACGCTAGTTGGCAGTGAGGTAGAGATCTGCGCGGGACCAAATTTTGAACCCCGCTCCCGCCCGCACCCGCCAGGTTTTAGCCCGAACCCGACCGCTCCCGCTTATATTAAGAATTTATTGTCCCGCTGCCCGACCCGCCCCGTTTTCTGGCCTGCGCCCGATCCCGCTAAAGAGCGGGGGAGAACAAAACCGAAAATCACCCAGCTATACAGTCCAGACAGCCAAGCTGTCTGTATAAACACACACACACAACACACAGCACCAAGCATACACACACAGACCAATCTCTCTCTCTCATACGCGCGAGCGCGCACTAACACACACACAAGTACCAAGCAGACACACAGGCGTTTGCTGTTATATCTACTCAAAGGCTTGTAATACCATGTATCAAGTACCAATGTAATACAAAAAAGTTTTATATAAAGGTATATAAATACTGAGTCGCGCCAGCTCCGGGCCGCAGCGCACATTACTCTCGGGCCGATTCCGGCGCGGATGCGGCAGCGTCGGCTCGCTTACGGCCGTCGCATCTGGCCCGATTGATTCGGGCCGGAATCGGGCAGTGAGTCCGCAAGCATCCGGAGTCCGGCAGCCGGAGCCGGGCTGAGTGGTAAGTCTGCGGCAGGCGAGAATCTAGCCGGAACTTGCCCGAGTGTATTTTGCTATCTGGGAAAACTCTCTCTCTCTCTCTTATTCAGGCGCGCGCACTAACATACACACACACAAGCACCAAGCACACACACAGGCAAAGCTCACGCTCTCTCTCTCTCTCTCACTGCATAGCAATATCCGCGATATTGCTAGACAGCCTGCTCCCGTCCCAAATAAACCCGTTACCGACCACTCCTGCGATTTATTCGGAAAATTATTCCCGCGCCGCAGAAATCTGGTCGGGTCCTGCAGACCTCTACAGTGAGGTGTAAATGTTCCTCTGTGTCGAGTTTCTTCGCTGTTGTTTTGCTTTTCCTGAATACTTCCGGGATGTACAAGTGGCTCAAACTCGCTCATTTTGAAGCAGGAACCGGCGGACGTGCAACAACTTTAACTATGAGGTAAACACAAAACAAAACTTTCCATCAGGAGCTCCTTCACGGGACTCCACACTTGTAAACAATCGCTACATTGGGTTTGCGCCATTCGCACAGCTCTCGGTCCCGCCCCGACTCGTCAGCGCTACCAAGCTGACCAATCACAGAGCTTGCGCTATGCGTTGTTGCGACGTGTAGTTACATTTTTTGAGAGGTGCACGTCAGTGACGGCGACGGGCTATGCGTCAGCCCCGTAGCATACGCCGGTGTTTGACGCAGAAGTTTAAATCAGGCTTAAGTGTGAATGTTGAAATGAAAGAGACAGAGAGAAAGAGAAGATGTGTGCTGTTTAATCGTTCATCACATTATATTAACCGAGATGCACTCAAGTCGGAATTTTTCTAAAGATTCACATTCATACTTGCGACTTTCTTCTACTGACAGCAGATTCTAATGGCAGGCAAAACAAGAACACTGCATGCAGCACATTTCACCACCTTCCCCATAAATAGCCTGCATAGGCTTTTCTACTCTGAGGCACCGCAGACTGAAGACAGACAGGCAGAAAGAGCAGCAAGTGCACATGACAGTAAGAGTTCGTCAGTTTAAGTGCCAGGATTGGCTGGTTCATCTTCTTCCCTGACAGCAGGAAGTTGTCCGCTAGCGTGAGCCTGTACCTGCTCTGAGACCGTCAGGAGTGCTGAGGTTTCCACGAGAGCTGAATCGACACACAAGAGACATGCAAAGAGAAGGAAGAAGAAGAAGAAAGAAAGAGAAGCAGAGGGAAAGGTCAACAGCACAGAAAAGGACAGGCAACACTTTCCCACAAAGATCTGAACTGATCTGAATTGCAGAAATAAACACATGAAATACAGATGTAGTCAGAATTATTAGCCCCCCTGTATCAGGGCCGGAGTGGGACTCATTTTCAGCCCTGGAGTTTTAAGCCAGACCGGCCCACCTCAGTTTACGACTGATTCCAATTCAGCTTCTAATGGCACTATCACGTCTTTTTTTTTTTAAAAAACAGCTGCTTTAGAAATTCAAATGTTCAACAGCCCTAACAGTATTATATGTCTTAACAAAAAAAAGAAAATATTCAGGTGAGATTCGAACACAGGTCCGCGGTATTGAATTGTTATGTGCTTACCACTGGACCACAATGGCGCTACTACAGTGAGAGTAAAAAATAACTAATGATGACCTGCGACCCTTAAGACACACCACTACTTTCTTTTGATGGCTCAACTTCTTGATGGCTCAATCTTGATCATTTTTAGATTTCTGATCAAGTTATGTCAGATTTATTAATGTAGTGAATCATTTGATTTTCATTGAGCAGGTGTAACATTAATTTTATTCGAATTCTTATATTCACTAAGGTGCCGCTGTTTGGGGTTGATTGTGTAGTGGTTTTCTTAGTTTTTCTCTTACTAAATCGAACTCAGTCTGGAGGTTATGAATATCAGAAGAATACACTTTATTGTCGACAACAAAGGAGAACTTTCAGGAGACCCCCAGTAGCATCTCTGTCTGAAAAATTCTGTGTCACTCATCTTCTGCCCTCCTTAAATACTCTGTTTTTGCCTTTGTTGTACATATGTCACACAAGATCCCTCCTAGTTTAACCCTTGACTCCAAATTCCACCTCTGTCATCTGTTTTTCCCTTATTTCTACATATGTCACACAAATTCCACCTATGTTAACCCCTGACCTCAATTTCCACCTAGGTTAACTCCTGACCCAAACCTGGTAACTATATAACTTATCCAGTTCTTGTGATATGGTAATTCTTCTAATGGTATGCAAGTCTACAAGCAGATTATACACATACAATTTGAATATATATATTAACTTCACACTTTAAAGAGTATAAAATCCACTTCAATAGTTGCATTACATCATCATCATTAACGTTAGTTAACCTGCAGGTTACATTTTTCTCATGGAGCTGCGAGAAAATTAATAAAAAGAGCTGCACTGCGGCAAAATAATAAATAAAAAAAGTGAAGCTATGGTCAAATAAATAAATCGAAAAAAAAGTGTGACTGCTGAGAGTGCAAGCAGCTAGGGACACCGGCCCTAGCGGCCAAAAAAACAGACCGGCCCATCGGGAATTCTCCCGGTCCTCCTGATTAGCCAATCCGGGCCTGCCCTGTATATTTTTCCCCAATTTCTGCTTGACACATATCTAAACATAATAGTTTTAAATACTAGTTTAGATTTATTTTAGGGCAGAATGATGGCTCCGTGGTTAGCACCATTGCCTCACAGCAAGAAGGTTGCTGGTTTGAGTCCCGGCTGGGCCAGTTGGCCAGCGTACCCCCGAGATCCTCCAGATGAAATGCAAGGCTTTTAAGTGAAGTTTAATTTATTAAACTAATTTTCGAGAGGAGTACGTGCTCATGATTAACCCAGCTGGCTCAAATTAGCTAATCACGATCCTCCAATCAAGGATCCCTAGTTCCTACATATATCTCCTCCTTTCCCACTTACAACTCTCTTCGTCTTAAAGAATCCCCCCTCCTCCCCCTTCTTCCACCTTTATCCAAAATAGGAGGCTCAGCGGCCCAGCAATTAGCAGGAATATCATTAGCTCTGGCTCCCTACTTGAGCTTCTGGTATCTCTGCGTGAAAAAAATTGCTCTGCATCATAGACCTCTTAAACCTTAGTCTCTTTTAATAGTCGTCTCGCTCTCAGGAAGTTCACCTTGGCCTTAGCTGCGGGGGGATTTTGAGATCTCCCCTCGCCCCACAAAGGGAGGGAGCCCTGGACTCGAGGAATGCCTTGAGCTCAGGGCTCTCTCCCGGGACAGCATGCCAAACGAGCTTTCGTAAGTCATGAGCTAAGTGTGAACTCTGGAAAGACCTTTTTAATACCATTTCAAATGAAATTCGATGCCAACTTTGTACCCATTCCGACAGAAGTATGAGGGGGAAATGTCAAATCTGTATAAATTTTGAACCCTAGAAAATAATTATGTACAAGTGACTGCTTGAATTGAATAAAACATTTTATTTAAATTGTCAGTTATATTTAATACACACGCAACAGCATAACACACATTTGATTTGTAATAAACGAATAAATTTCAACTTGGTGTTGAACACTATAGCCTTTACAGCTCTGCTGCCTTGGCTGCATTTTTTTCGCCCAGAATCTCAAGTCGTGTCAACTTCTGCTTGTGGCTTTTTCTCAACGTGTTTGCCGTAGAGTTGCTGTTGATGCTCAGTAATTTAGGATGTTCTTTGGCTGTGGTCTAACGTAGAAATCACTAGCTATGTTTCCATCCAAAAATGTGAATAAACTTTATGCACAAAACTCGATTGTCGCATAAAAGTTGTGCGAATGAAGCATCGTCAACGAGTCAAAGCGAACAAAATCATCACTTCCTGATTAACTGGCGCCAAATATCAACAGTAAAAACTTCATTTGCTGCAGTAGGAGAAGCTGCATCAATCTTTTCTAAATGAATGCGCCTCAGAAGACAATCCTGACAGGCAGTGAGCGCGCTGTGGCGTTTGAAGGTGTCAGACGTGGAGCACAGGCGCTCTTGATTCTGGAGGTCATTAATAATATAATAACACTAATACTGAAATGATAAGGCGTTTTATAATGACCAAAACAACATTTCAGATGTTTTATAATGTGCTCAGCCTGATGTTTTATCCATTCACACACATTTTAATCATCACATGATCTCTTTTAACAAAACCACATGACCTTTTTTGAATGCGCATGCTGGAGTTTGTGCGGTAAAACTGTTTCCATCGCAGTTTATGCGCATCTTTTCTTATCGAATAAAAAGTTTATCCTAACCAATTAGGCGCATAAGTTTTTTATGCACATTATCAAAATTTATGCGCATCATGGCTGTGGCGAGGGGGCGTGGCCGAGAGCTGTGGGAGCGGAGTGAGGCCACCGCGTAAGTGGATACACCTGTGGTGCGCACCTGCTTCGGATCCCATGGAAGGAGCTCTGGACGATAAAAGGAGGAAGCCGAGAGAGGACCGGGCCCGGACATATTTTACTTTTGCTTTCAGTTTGACGGCAGTCCCCGTGAGGAGCTGCCGTCCGTTTGTTTTGGTCTAGACTGCAGTCTCCGTGAGGAGCTGCCGTCACTGTTATTAATAAATAATTTAAACCTGCGTCGGTTCTCCGCCTCCTTCTTCCCAGCGGCCAAAGGGCCGTGAACTACATTACAATGGCGTTTCCATCAACTGTTTTTTTTTTTTTTTAATTTTTTTCTTGCATATTTTGCAAATGCGCATAAAATAGGTGGATGGAAACATAGCTACTGATGTAAACCTACACTGGTCTCACGGTTTGGTTCGGTTCGGTAACGTTTCGGTTCAATTCGATATCTCGGTGCATCACAGTGCATACACAGTTTTATATTGGCGGAGGGGGGGTGCTTACTGTATGAACACACACACACACACACACATAGACACAAAGCGCCAAGCAAGTGCCACACAGCATTACGCTCTCTCTCATTCACACAAATAAACACACACACACACACATCGCTAAAGCGTGATTCACAGACCGCTCCCGCGCTTTATTCGGAAATGTTTTCCCGCGCGGCAAGAAATCTGGTCGGTACCTCTGCAGACCTCTATCCAGAAGTATCGCTGTAACAGCCGAGAGGAGAGGAAAAGTCACGCCAGCAGGTCAAATAGGCCACATTGAGAGAGAGAGAGAGAAATAGAGTTTACTTTCATTCTCTCAATCGCAGTAAAATAGGAAGTTCTGCTGTAAGTGTCAGTGAAAGTGTGTTTTTAAGTAGTTGGAGCGTTGTAAATACTCGCAATCGCCTGCCTGGCCATAGTAGCCTAAGCTACGGCGACACACTTTCTGCTATGACGTGGATCACGAGATGCACTCAACGTTACTCTGCATGAATTTTTTAATTAGCCTACTTTAGTAACAGTAGTTTTGTTATGGTATGAACTTTAATCCTAGGAAAGGCAAAAACAAATAAATAACACAACACCTTTGTAACCAAAACCAGGAGTTTAGATACCAAATTCAAAGCTATTAAGACCTTAGTTTGAGATTATCAAATTTAAAACTTTTACAATGCTTTTAAGACCCCGCGGGTACTCTGGCTGGCATTTCTGTGCGGAGTTTGCATGTTCTCCCTATGTTGGTGTGGGTTTCGTCTGGGTGCTCCAGTTTCCCCCAAAGTCCAAACACATGCGCTATAGGAGAATTGATTAACTAAATTGGCCAAATTGGAATTGAGAACCAATGCACTACCAAAGCCTTGTGAATTAGCAGATGACACAACGAAAACAAATGCGATGTTCACAAATGAGCCAGTGTGAGAATAGTGTAAGCTGTAAGACTTGGACTCACCGCCGGGCACCTCAGTCAGCTCATTGAGAGGAGGCACCGTCTCCAGTGTGTTGGCATAATTTTTCGCAGCAAGTCTTTGCGCGTGCCGAGCCTCGATCTCTTTTTTCGTCCGTGGGATTCGGCATTTGAAGATGCAGCAGAGCGTAATTACTGTGAAACGATAGAAAGAGCTTTGAAATAATTTTGAAAGAGAGCTGTGCTTCACATCAGGCTGCGTCTCATATCTGTTTGCTGTGAGGGACTTTTTATTTAATCACTTACCATGATTCACAGAGTTAATGATTAAGTGTTTATTTTGGCACTGCTTAGTATAGAATTATGCGTGCAAATATATGCATAGCCTGCCCAGCTTAAAGAGGTCCAACACATAAACAAATTACTCTACATTTGTATTACAAATAACACAACCCTAAATCAGAAAGAAACTGGGACAATATGGAAAACTGAAATTGAAAAATGGCATGGAAATACTCATTCATCTGACTATAGTACTCATTTGCACTGTGATGATCCATCCCAAATGCCTCTGAGCAAGTCGACAGCGCTTCTGGACACTGTTAACATAGGGCTTCCTTTTGGCAGAGAACAGTTTTAACTGGCATTTGTGGATATAACTATGCATTGTGGTACTTGACAAAGGTTCGCCAAAGCAGTCCAGATGTCCCATGTGGTAATATTTCAATGTGGTGATATCCAAATGTCTTTTAATCTTTCTTTGAGGAACTTTATTTTTTAAACATTTCACTAATTTTCTCATATATATGTTGGCAAACTGGCGATCATCTGGGGCTTCATGTACTAAGACTTGCGTGGAAATCTTACTAAAACATTGCGTACGCACAAAGCTGTAAATGTGTGTACGCAGAAAAAAATTCAGATGTATGAAACACTGCGTACGCCGAATCTCACGCATATTCTTTTGTACATCCGAATGAACGTGAAACTGAGCGCAACATGCACGAGCACAAAACCCCTCCCTGCGTCCGCCCCCGTATGAATATGCTAATGACTATGCTAATGAAAAAACCCAACGAAAAAGCAACGGCAAAATCAAGCAAAAAGAGAAACTTTGAACAGAATGTGAATTGGAGGTGCTGCTTTTGGAGGTAGACCGGAGAAAAGCGGTGTTATTTGCAAGTTCGTTCTCCGGAATTAACAACAAAATTAAAAAATAGAGTGGGAGAGTTTAGCTGATGCGGTTAACACAGTTGGGTCTAAACATCACACTGAGTGAATTACAACAGAAACAGTGTGGTTTATAGGTGTAAAATGTTGCATTACCCATAACAGTCTCAGTGGTGCAGCTCGAAAAACGCATGTTCACATGTTTTGACACGTTCGAGCATGAACTCGGTTTGAATCCAGCGTCTGATCAAGTCAATCTTCTTTTTTCCCTCGCTACATATCAGATTTTGCCAACTATTTATCACGAGAAAGACAAGTAGGAATCATTAATAAAACATTTATAGCAACTTTATAGCAATGTGTGTGCAGTAGATAGCTCAGATTACATTGGGAAAACAGGCGACCGCTGCAATTTGCGCAATGTTTGGCTGGTCAACTGTATGGTATGGAAACCTTATATACCTGCTAGATGAACCTGTCTCATACAGCTGCCATTGCACGGCTCAGACACTTTGTAGAGAGGAATTTAACACAACTGCCTCTAGGAGTCGCCAATGGAAATAAAACAGACACGCAGAAAAACTGTGTGTACGCCAGCCATAAAGCTGCCATGGAGCTGCGCACATTCCCACGTTCAGTTCATCGTTAGTAAATCCAAACGTGAGCGATTCTGAGCGTGAAACCTGGCGTACGCAAAGTTTTTGTGCGTACGCAGCGTTGATACATGAGGCCCCAGGTCATCTTTGCTCCTAAAAGACTAGACCTTTCTTGGATGCTGATCAGATCACATCAATTATTTAACCAGTCTACCTGATTACTAGCCCTGAACTGCTCCTGTCCCAACTGTTTTTGGAATGTGTTGCAGGTCTGAATGACAGGAAAGGATGTTTATTTACAAATGAGATGTAGTTGACCGGACAAAACATGAAATATTCTGTGTTCATATCAGCTGCAATGAAATACAAGTCAAAGTTAATTGGGAAATCACTACTTTCTTTTTTATTTGCGTTACTGTTCCAAGTTGTTTCTGACTACTAAAGTACTAAGAAGCATATAATCCATTTCTTCTGTGGAACAGGGGTATAATTTTGAATAATATAGAGGTTGCTCTTCTCCGTGCTGTTGCAATGAAAGGAGAATGATTATTTTAAGCTTCATTAAATGACCAAAAGGCTTTGTAAGTGCCTGTAAAACGTGTGTGCTAGAAGTCTTTTGGATTTACGGTGGGTTTTGTCACTTTGACAGTCCGAGTTCTCACTTTTGTGGCTAAAATAAACCTTTGATGTTACAAGGAAGAAAATCGTTCAAGTTTTACTTTAATTGCAATTACATTTGCAGAAACTTACTTATTGCTAAGATGAACATGGAGAAAATGCCCACAACCTGCCATAATCGAAGTCCCCAAAACACCACTGTTTCTGAGGTGACGGGGTCTGGCTTTTTCGGAGGGTCTGTTGGCAGGAGCTATGAGATAAGAGAGAGAGAGAGAAAGAGAGAGAATTATTTTTTATGCACCACTTTCTGTACAGCCATCAGATCTGAAAGTACTGCTTTCTGATGGTCATCACAGCTGCAGATACAAACACTGAGGCTGGAAACTGCTTGCGGGGCGCGTGTAGACAGAAAAGAAGAGGGTTCAATCAATCAATCAAATTCATTCAGGAGATTGGAGTCACAGAACACAATGGGATTTTTGTATGCTCATTCTGAGTAATCCAGCACTGTTTACTGTCAGTATAAAATCTACTCAAATACACCAACTTTGAAAAACATTACCGTTCACAATGTAAACATGTTTAATAACTCAACCAAACTTCTCAAAGGTTCCGTTTTCATCAATCATTCCTCTGTCCTTGAGAAATGCGGTGCTCAGGAATCTCTCTTACTATTATAAAAACCGAAAAACTTGTAAGGCTCTATTTTGACGGTCCATGCGCAGAGCGTAAAACGCAGGGCGCAAACGCTTTCAGGGCGTGTCAGAATGCATTTTTGTTAATTTAAGGACGGGAAATCTGCTTTGCGCTGTGGCGCATGGTCTAAAAGGGTTGAGTTTATTTTCTTAATGAGTTATTGGTGTGTTTTGAGAATAAACCAATCAGAGTCTCATCTCCCATTCCCTTTAAGAGTCAGCTGCGTTGCGCCATAAGCGCATTCGCTATTTACAGGACACAAAGTAAGTCTAAGTGGAAAAACTGAGCATTTCACAAGCAAACAGTAAACAGTGTTTTAACAGAAAACAGTTAAACAGAGCATCTACTGCGTGAGAATGAGAGATAATGGATCTACTTTCACTTTCACTCTTAGATAGGGAAACCTTTACGCACAGACATCAATTAGCCTATAAATAATTAATTGTGTTTGTTAAGTGCAAATATTCGTTTTAAAACTGTTTCTAAATTCAGTTCTAATTTCCAGCAAACGAATAAATGAACAATAATAATGAAGTGTGCTCAAAAACCTGAGTTATATCCTAAAACACATGCTGTGCCCCATATGGTCTAAAACCTGACAGGTGGACAAATCTAAGCTTGTTTTTAATAAAACAAATATAAATATGGATATAATAAATAATACTGCTAATAATAATAACATTATACAAAAGGAAATTGTTATGAATGAACTGAAAAAGCCTCCCGAGATGAAGAAGACATAAAAGCAGTGATTTTTCATATTTATGAAGGCTAGAAAATAATATGTTTTGTAAAATTTTAATCCTTTTTCTTTATATCCTATATCTATTCTTATTATATCCTATATTTATCCTTAATATTTATATTTTTTCATATGTAAAGATATTTGCCTATTGCTCTCTTGTGTGTATTAAGCAGTGTGTAAGCGAGGCGCAACTCTGCGCCGGAGTTTAGACCGGGTTTGTTTTGGTCTAATGAAAAATCTATTATAGTTCCTCAAAACAGCAACGCGCCAGCGGTCCGCCTCACAACGCCTTCCTTTTTACACCAGAACGCCTATGAGCGCACAAATGAGCGCTAATGCATTTGCTATTTAAACAGCGTAGCGCAACGCCTCAAAACCACTCTTGCGCTAAGCAGAAACTAGCAAAAGACTACTGCGCTACATTGCGCCGGGTGTATGATTGGGCCCTTAGTGTTTAATAAACTGTGGAAACTGCAAAATAGTCCTTTTCATTAGACAACCAATTTTCTCAGAGGATGACAAGCTGACAAAACATTGCTGTCACTCTGATACACGTTTTATTTATGGAGAAAATTATAAAGCACTGCAGTGTTTAGGTGTTCTGTGTTTGAGGTAATTAGTCGACCAAATTGTGCATATTCCATACAAGCTGAAGCTGATCGGTCAGTTCTTGTCACGTGACTTGTGGTATGCTCATGGGATTCATTCAACTGGGGGCATCTGGAAGGCCCAATCGCATTACGCCGCTTGCGCATGCAAGCCACACAGCTCCTTTGGAAATAACGAACTTGTGTAATCTCTCAAAAAACACGTGACATACGAACACCTCCTAAAAGGCAGTCATTTGCAATGTCCAGCAGTTGATCTTCTTGCACAGACTTGCTTGTTTCACCTGATTCGTTGAAGAATTGGTTGCGGATCTATTTCTTGGCAGTTCGTGGGTCCTTCACTGGGCATTTTCCCCTTAAACTTTCCAAAGATGTCCTACTGTGGGTTAAATTTGGGCACTCAAGTGACCGAGATGTAACTCAGGGCCTACTCACACTTTGCTATAGGAACCATGGCCAGGCCCGTTTCCTGGATCACTTGAGAAGTGTGAGTGCACTGAATCGGGCTCAGACATGGTGCACTTGGCCGGCCCTGGCCCGGTTGGAAGAGGTGGGCCTGAGCGTGGTTCACTTGGGCTTTGGCGCGGTACGTTTGCAGTGCAAGTTTAAAACGCGCCAAACCCCGAAACTGAAAGCGAGACGTGACTTTAAGGGACTGTTTCATATGGATTAATTATTCATTCTTACTTTTCAATGAACGCAAAGTGCCCTAGATTATTCAAGACGCAAACCCCTCACTGCACCTTCAGCAGACCTCCTCATTCCTGCAGCACGAGGGCTTTATGATTGTTTATGAGCGCCAAAAGTGGCGGATCTGTTCGGCGAAATATCTGACTGCGTGTCACCGCATCCCAAAGGGGGAACAAGCGTGCTTTGGCCCGGTTCGAGGCAACTGTACCTAGTGTGAGTACGGCCTAAGAATATTTGGTTTGTTTGTTTGTTGTTTTTCAAAATAAAACAATAAGACTCAGATAATTAATTAAACAGAAATAATTAATGATTTCTTGTGCGGTCTGGTACCAATTGATCCACAGACCGGTACCGGTTTAAAAAAAAAAAAAAAAAGCTATACAGATAAACTTGAGTTGACTTGATGATTCTGAACATGTGATTTTGGATCCAAGCAAAGAATCAGAAACACAGGTAGGGATCTAGCATTGGCAAAACAACCAGCTGTAACCTAAAAGTCCTAGGAACAGAGTATAAAGTGATTTATCCTCAAGTGTATCCCAAACTTTTCGAATGGTTATCTTCAGCTCTGACAGAGTCAGGGGACCATGCAGACACCAGTTGTGACAGTAGCTTTAAAGTAAGAGTTTGCTGCCTTTGTTTGAATAATTTAGCAGGTTTATGTTATACAAAGCTGTAGTGGAAAGTTGGAATGAAGGATTCGCTCAAGTGTTGACAAGTTGTCCATGTTTCTGGAACAGGAATCAATCAATCCATGTCTCATTTCTTGTCTTCCTACTAGGTCTGAACTATTGTACCTGCAAACAGACTTCACGTCACTTGTCCTCAGTCTCCAGGTCTGAATTTCATTTTGTTCTGCTCATTAAATCTGGTGACACAAATCGTCTTGGGAACTGTAAAGTCTGCATAAAAATGGATGCAGTTGCTCGAACGACACGTCCAGCCTGTCACTTTGGAGACCTCATGGTTCCTCATGGTTCTGGAGGTGATGAGCAGCTGCTGGTCTTGTATGTTGAGATGTCATGCACCAACATGATTGTAGTTTCATCTGCCGAAAAGTACATGCCCTTTTGACACGGGCATAACAAATCCCGTCGAGTCCTGTTTGGTTATATGTACTTTACAATTGATGAAAACCACAGTGAATATTTTGTGATAATTTATTCACCCCCATGTCATTTCAAACCCATTTCATACTCAATACATAAAGCCTGTTTCACACCGCAAGCGTCAGCGGCGCGTGAGCAGAGCGTGAGCAGCGCGTGTGTTTTCGGCGTCTATGTTAACAGATTAGAGCTTTCATACCGCACGCAGCAGCAACGCGTCAGAGCGAGGCGTGAGCGTCGCCGAAGCAGCAGTGCAGCGATAGTTTCGGCGCTGGGTCTATTTTTGACGCGCTGCTCACGCTCAATTAAAGTGACAGTGCATTGATAATGACCAAAACTCATTGAATGACTGTAAAAAGTAGCATATTTACCCAATAAATGCGTTAATAATGTCAAATGGTTTATATATAGTCATTCAAATTAACTTAAAACGAATTAAAACGGCAACAAACATTTATTTAGGCCCGAACTACAAAACCAAATGTAAAACAATTTTAGTATCAGTTTTGCTTAAGTTGCACGCTAGTGTTGTAGGAGAGGGGAAATAGAATATTTACAGGATTTGTAGTCCAAGTGTATTGTGGGTAGTGTAGTTCGACACGCATGCTGGATGATGTGAGCTCGCTGTGTTCTGTGCAGCTGAGCAGAGGAAGAAAGTTTTAATCAGCTTTGTTTTTATGTTCACTCGAGTTATTCCTACCGGGAGCTGTCTGCACTGTGAATCCGACAACACGAAAATAAGTAAAAGAATGGCATGAATTGGTTACTTTTGTCCGTCTCATCCTCTGCACGAGCATGAATTAACGAGCTGTTTTTCTGCCGCTGGACATCACTGAAGCGGAGAAAGTAACACTAGTTTGATCATGTATAAATATCATTATAACTATATTGTATAAATATTATTATAACTAGGTCTACAGCAACCTGATAATAAAAAACAAATGACATGATATCACAGGCGATTGTCTTCTGACGGTAGACACTTCTCATTTAAGTTAGATTGAGAAGCATACAGTACTATTTGATCTATAGAATTTGTAAAATGAACATTTGCCGGTTAAAGAAACAGCATAGGAGGGGCCTTGGTGCAGACGAAAAGTTTAAAAAGTGTATTTGTATACAGAGAGGCATGGGTAACTAGATAGAATAGACAGAGACAGGTTGATCTCTGCAGCAGCTGCCGAAGAGCTGCGCGCTGCAGACGCAGCTGGTGTGAAAGGCAAACGCCGCTGACGCTTGCGGTGTGAAACAGGCGTAACACAAAACTGAACTATTCAATCATTCGTTCATTTTATTTTCAGCTTAGTCCCTTTATTATGAAGGAACCTCCAACTTATCCAGCATTTGTTTACGCAGGGGATCCCCTTCCAGCTGCAACCCATCACTGGGAAACACCCATACACAC